CCGCCCTGAGGCCCCGCGGCGGGAGGGGCGCGGGCCGCGCTGCCCTCAGGGCCGCCTCAGCGGGCGGGACGTGGCGGGGATGCACCTGCGGGGCTCGGCCTGAGGAGAAGCGGCTCTGCCCCAGCTCCGGGCCGCCGCCGGGCCCTCCTGCCCCATGGCCGTGTCCCCGTTCTGCAACTCCTGCATGCGGCAGCCCCTCAGCCCCACGCCGCTGTTCTACCTCACCAACTGCGGCCACATTTTCTGTGAGGTTTGCCTGCAGAAAGGTAATGGCTGCTGGGGCGCGCCCGGCGGGGCGGGCTGTGCTGGCGTGCACACATCCAGCCCAAACATGGCTATTTCTGACCCGCTGTGGGAAGAATGAAAGCCCTGAGCATTTTTTTCCAATGTTACTGATAAGCCTTTCCGATCCTTGCTGTTGATTCGCTTTAAACCGTAAAACCCGCCTGTGTCCACTTCCAGGTTGGTGTGGCTTTGAGAGAACCCTTGGGCAAAGGCCGTGGAGGCTTTAATCAAACTGGGTTCTGGATACTTATGATCCATAACTTTTTTTTAAAAAAAACACAAATAGATGGCTTTCTATTCTGGCTAATTTGGGAAAAATAATGTTTTTTCCTTAGTGAAAGAGCAATAAAAAAAAATAGGATTTTTTTAGGGTAGGTTTTTTAAGTAGTCTTAATACTAAGTTTTAAGGCTCAGTATTGTTCCTGAAAACTTTCAGCAGCATGAGGGAAGATTTGAAGTGATGTTTTAAAGCTCTTGTGCTATGTACAATTCCAGAGTCATACTCTGTGACTCCTGTGATGTTCTTAGACAATGATATGTGGGAAAGACAGAGGAATAATGGAGTTGTTTCGCAAAAGAAAAAAAATGCAGCAGACAAATCTCAATGTTTTTCTCTTTCACATCAAGCTAAATGCCCTGGTTGTTTTTTTTTTTTTTAACGGCACACAGAAGAAATGATCAATCTGTATTTCAGAACTAAAGATTTTTGACTAGGCATTTTCACAGGGTTGCTGTTGAGGATAGAGTATAATAAAATGCAGCCTCTCAGCTTCCAGGCTCCTAGGACATGGACAACATCTTTCCTTTCCTTTCTGCTCTTAATGTAGTTTGGCAGAAAAACGTGTGAGAGATTATGTATCTTTTATGCTGTGAATTCAGCAGTAATGACAATGCAAGGTTTAAAATGTATTTAAAGGTGTTGATCCATAGAATCTTCAGAAAGGCAGTAGCTAGTAAAATTATAAATGATAAATATTGAAATAATGTGCATTTGCTATAGATATTTTCTAATATGTTTGCAGATAATCAAAGAGTTTAAAAGTCATAAAGTTTTAAAAAGTGATTTTATTGTTTTCTCACTGGAGGAATTCAAAAGGTAAAATTATTAATTCCTTTACATTTGGGTTTCATATATTTTCTTGGGAGAACCCAACTGTGCCCCAGTCTAAAAATCCATGTATCAGATTGACTGTAAATCATTAGTGCACTTAAGCATACATTTAATTAAACCAGGCAAGTAGTCAGTCCTATTTAAATCAAGAGAACTAAAAGTCACCTGCATTCTGTGACACTAATGATATTCACAAAATCATTTACATGAATGCTTATTTACAGGAGTAAGACCTGATGACATTCATACACATTTTTCCTGCACAACTCTGTGTAATGGTTATAGAATCAAATTCATTATTCATGTTTATTCATACTTGTATAACCTGCAGATTTCTTCCAGAAGCTCCAGAGGTTTAGATATCACATTTTATTTACAATGTATTTAATATATATTCAGTTTGATCTATATTTTAAATGTATCTTTATCTTACAGGCAAAAAAGATGAATGTTTGATCTGTAGAAGTCCTTGTCGTACCTTAGTCCTTTCAAAAGAGGTAAACCAAGCTTTAGTTTTGTTGCATTACATTAATCTGTGGTTTGTTTAACAGCTAAACTATTTGCATTAAAAAATGCTTCCTTTTTTTGTTTTTGCCAACTGTGGCATGAATATTTACTGATAATAGGCTGTTAAACTTAGATACTTAGGCACTAGACAGCTCAGCTTTTTGTTGTATATATTCCTTCAAATTAAAGCCTATGGAAACGTTTTAGGTTTTCAGGTACTGCTAGACTGTAAATCATTCTAAACTTTTCAATAAATATCGCTGGTTACTGTGTAACATCAGTGACTACTTTCAAAATGTGGAAAAATGTTTATTGATATTGGCATTTGTACATCACAGAAAATGAACAGTAATGAATTATTTCAGGTAATGGACTGAATTAAAAACCTGCATGATGTCTCAGCAGTGTTTTCAAGTAGATTAGGGTTTTTTCCCCTGTTTTTTCTTAAGCTTAACTATTTTCCTCGTGGCTGTGTGATTAAGAAAGAGTTTGAAATATTGTTGGGAATTCTTGTTATTCACTGGAGAATTAAGAGCTTTTAATTCCTTTTCTTGATTAATCATTAGGAACATTTAATTTTGCCATTTCTCCCAGAAGGAATCTTCTCTTTAGCTGATTTCATAAATAGGTTGTGAAAAACATTCATATTTTTGTAGACTGATGCCTACCTAAGAGACAATGCCTTATAAGGATAAAAGAGAAACACCAAAAACATTTAATAAAATTAAATACAGCTAAGCATGAAGGCCTCCTGGCAATCTTAAACATTGAAGAAGACAATGCTACTAAAAAAAATTGCAGCAAAACAACAAAATGCAATTATAATACAAAAGAACAATGCACACAGTAATCAAATACAAAACAAATCAAAAAGCACTTCATAAAAATTCTAAAGGGCATATTTTAATATGCTTTCAACATCAACCTATTGTTGCTGCAAACTTTGTTATTATTTTCAATCAAAGAGTATTCTAAGTTGTCAGGGACCATTTTGTCCAACACCTTGCTCAAAACAATGTCAGTTTTTAAGTTACATCAGTCTTAAATTGCAGTATTTCATCACAACTTGATAATTCAAACACACAGAAGGAATTTAAAAATGAAGTGATTGGGATAGTAACAAAAATATTAGATGTTTCATTAGAACCTGCCACTGCTCTGGAGGGCTGGAAGGAAGCAAATTACCATATTCTTTAAAAAAGACATTAATGATGATTGCTTATCCTTGATTAAGAACAGATAAAATGATTGGAATGATAATTAAAGATGCATATAAAAAAGTCATGGCTCTATAATTCAGGAACCTGAGTGGAAATATACCTGGTAAGCTTTATGAGCTTGATGCTATGGAAGAATTCCCAATGAGGAGGAGGAGGTCCTATAAATGTGTTAGAACTCCTAATTAAATTGTATGTTGGGATAATCAACATATACACATTAAATATGCTCATTTTTACATTAATGCATTCTTGTCACCTTTATATCTTCCTTTTGTGTCTCATGATCCCCACTTGCTTTTCCCCAGAGGATGTTTAAGTGTTACAATAAATCAGAATCTGGCTGTTCAGTATTTCAGAATATCATAGGAACATCTGCTAGTCCTCCATGCAGCAGATAAAATACAAACAGTATCATACAAATCTTTACTTGAAGGAGTTTTTACATCACGATGAAACTGCTTGGGTTTTATTTTTTCCAATCTGATAGGTACATAAACCAAGATCATTGTTTTGATAGAACCCTAAATAGATTGCTCCTATGAATGCATTTCATTTAAGGAAGCTGAATGTATTTTTATGAATATCTTCAAGTTTTCAAGGTGGACTATTATTGTCTTGTGTGTATTTTCTTTACTGAAATATCACAGGTAGGTTCCCTGTGCTGTCCGTCCCTGCATTTCTCCATCTGTCAGCTGAACATTTTTGAATGCTTTGGCTGATATCAACCAAATTCAAAATTGCAGAGGAAGTCTCAAAGACAATTAACTACCTCCTGTGATTTCTGTAAGAATTAGTAGCTGGGGAAAGCAAGGAAAAGCAGTTTTCCTAAAGCATGCACGGCTCTGCAGTGAGCAGACAGTGCAGGCCATCATCAATTGCTGCACAGGACATCCCAGTAGCTGATGTCACCATATGGGAAACAGAAGATACAAACCTATTGCAAATCCAAGTTGTTAATTTAGCTCCTTGCACAATTATTTTTCATACATAAGAGATTCCATTTCTCTTTATTGTTAAAAAGATATAATTTAAGCACACATAGAAAAGAGGTTTGGCTGTTGTTTGGTCTTGAGTATTTGACTTTATGCTAGTGTTAAGATATTTTTGGTGGAGTTAAAAATACTATTTTTTTAGATTTTTGTGTATTTCAAAGTGGAGCAAAGCCTAACCCTTTTTGATTTCAATGCAGTATTTTTAATTTAAGTGACTGCACTTTTCCTTCTGCTTTCTTAGCATCCAAGGAAACTTATGCTTCATTCACAGGTGGCCCAGTTCTTACTTCTTTTAGCAATTCACCTTTTAAAATTTCTTAATTTTTTTAAAGCTTTTTGAGATTTTTAATACTTCTAGGAGTAATTTCAATTCTTCCTACAGCAGTTCTTTCTTACTGGATTTTGAGAAGTGGTTCCTTACAGAAAGGCTACCTTTTTCTGGGGCAGCCTTCTTCTATCATCTAAGTATGCCTGCATTATTTTTGGTCTTTTTCTTCAAATTTGGGGTAGTTGTAAACCTACCTTCTCTTATAGAATCACAATACATCAAAGAGAGCCATCCTGTTTGCAGGTAGATTTTTTCCTAGATACATTGTTTTTGAAAGCTGTTTAGCTATTTTAATTTAGTACTAAAACTAGTATAACTATTTTGGAGTAATATTTTCTTTGTTTTTTTTATGAACAGATTAGGAATGTGTGTATTCAGGATTAACGTAACACTTAAGTTGTCTACACTGCTTTGTAGATTTGGATAGATGTGCAAATGCAGCTATTATTCTGAAATTCACTTAATACTTAGAAGCATTTTTATGATTTTTATTACAATCATGGCTTAGGTGTAGAGCACTTAACATTTTATAAAAGCACAGGTTGCCATTTGTGAGGCCACATCGTGATCTCTGATTAAAAGACACAAGTCATAAAATACTTAAAAATTCAGCAATTACTTTAGGGCTCTTTTGGTATTCTGGGATAATATTCTGCTGCCCCGTGGGCAGGGAGAGACAAGGGGATCCCACCCAGTATTGGAACTATTCTGAAAAAGGACTTGGAAACAAAACTGATTGTAGGATGCATCCCTACATTCCCTGTGGCTGGGAATGGTGAGAACCAAAAAGCCTGGAAAGTGCCTTCCAGAAACCTGGCTGTTGGTGTGAATGCAATGCCTCTTCCAGGTGCCACAGCATCCTCCTTGGATGGACACTGGACACTGGTGCTATCTTAATCACAATAAGTATATATGTGGGTAATATAAGGCCATTAAAGAAAACTAAGTTTATTTTCCATTTCTGCATTATCTTTCTCTGATCTGTCAATTTTTTTCTATTTATATACGTCAGTCAATTTAAGAAGCACTTCTAAAAAGACTTTATTTGACTTGCTAATAAAAATGCTAACCTTGGTATATTTTCATTTCTTCATAGATAAGTCCTGAAATACAATCACTGTTCGTGCAAGTAGATGTATTATGCAAGAAATATTCAGCTGAACTATCACAGGTGAATCTGCCTTAAAACTTCTTAATTCTATAAAAAGTCAGCAACTCCTACTGATTTTTATGTGAATGGGAAAAGTATATGAGTGAATTCTTGAAACTAATGTATGCCCATTATTATCTTTACTTCCTTAATTCCACAGTTTCTAAGTTCTAAAGGAGACATAAATCATTCATTATGGTCACTGCTTATGTTTTCAAACTCTCTCTAAGGACCACTAGTCTGGTTATTTTAATGGTGTAAAATCACTTTCAATGCCATGCAATCAAAAATTAGATTTGCCAGAAGCTTAAATGTGCCCAGATAGTGTGCCTTAATTATAGCAATAAAAAGTTACACTGTAAAAACCTGAGTTGGGCTACAGTCCTGAGCTGACTGTGCTGTCTTTCCCTTTTTATTTTTTTTTTCTTTCTTTAGTCAAAACACACCTCTTCTTTTTTTTAATTTTTTTTTTTTCTAGATAGATGCAGTGAATTATTCCAAGGTCATTTTCCTCCTGCTTTCTGTGAATTCCAGATAGGATTCCTTTCTTCAGGCTTCATTTCCAGAAAAGAATTCCTGTAGCTGTGTGGGTTAAATGAGTGCATACAAACTCCCATTTACTCCTCATTTTCTGCATCTCTTCAGCTTGGCTTTGGGATTTTGTGTCCTTGTCCTTCTTCCTGTGTATTTCAGCAGCAGTTTCAGGCACTCAGTAGTACATTGTTCCTGGGCTCAGCTGCAGCCTTCGTTGTCTATTCTCATCTCCTTGGGCTGGGACTTGCTGATCTTTGGGTGAACTCCCTGATCCAGCAGAGCAATAACCCAGGGAAAATCACCTCCAGCAATGGTCATGGATTCACATTTGCTCTACCCCAGGCTTCACAGACTTTTCCAAAGCTGAGCTTAGCCACTTTCTTGAGGAGTGCTCCTCCTCAGATGCAGAAGTGACACAAGGTAAATGTGAAGCCTTCCTCTGTCCTTCCATACCCACTTTTTAACATCAGGATCAGCAGGGCTTTTTTCAGTTTACTCTGTAAACTGTAACAATGCAGGGAACCACACTTCCAATCACATGGGAATACAAACTTCCATACTGTGCCAAAGGAGGGAAAAAAGAGGGCTCAGTTTCTCAAGGCTAAGATAGCCTGAGAGAACCTGTTGGAAACATATTGAAGTGTAGTGAATGCCATTGAGGTATGCTCAGAATTTGCCCCAGCATCAAAAGATGATCTCCTAGACCCAAGAACTCATTTCTGAGTGAGTGGAGGCAGCTCAGAGACATCGCTTTCTAAGTGGATATTTCTTCCATCAGTTGTTCAAAAGACACACTTGATTCTTTCATGATTATTCAGTGGGAACCTCCCAGGTTCTTCCACAGGGAATAAAATAACCATTTAAGTTGGATACTCCTCTATGGCTTAATATTCTCGAAGTGTTTCTTCTTGATTGTCTCTATTCCTACACATTTTCTGGCAGTTTTCTTACATGTGAGAAGAATTATTTATTAGAAGTTACTGTCTATGATAATTTGTTTCTCAAGCTCTTGTCTTGCCTACCATGTCATTTTTACTTTTAACTTGTCATGGTTTATGATCCTCATTTGGACACAAGAAGTGCTTACACATCACCAGACAGTGTGTCTAACAATTATTTTTTAATTAACAGGGTATTTTTACAAGGCATATTATAATTGCCAGTAAGACAGATTACTTTTTATGTTGCCATTAATTTTATGTGTTTGCTTAGCACTGATGAATAAGAAACACTGCAGCTAAACTGGCTTTCTAATGTCTTTACCTTTTTATTGAACATAGTGTTAAAATACAACTTGAATGAAATAAATCTACCAGCTCTACTGTAGGTCATATTGGATTAAATTAACTTTATAAGACTTTGTCTATCAGTGATAATAACTTAGAATAATTTGGGTATTTTTTGAAGAGGATTTGAAGAAGATAGGTTAACTGCCTATTAAAATACAGAAAACTTTGCATACTGTGAGTAGGTATGTTCCATCACTTCTTTGTTGAGCTGTATAAATGTAACTATGTGAATCTTGATATAACTATTTATTTTTAGGTTTCAGAATTTCAAGAAAAATATCGTAAGCGTTTATTAACACACTACAAGGAAAAGGTAATTCTAACTGTGATTTTCTAGGGTTTTGTTTATGTTTGCCTTGTTACTTTGGTTTATTTTTAGAAACTGTAATCATCTTTTATTGGAATGCTTAGAATAATTTATCAGGATTGACTCATTACTGTCATTGTAAATACTAATTTTTAATTGTTTAAAGTCTGTGAGGACTCTATTAATTCTGGTGATTATTTTTAATAAAATACTCTAGTTGTGAGATGGTTAAGATTAAGTGGAGAATCAAAGAACAGGGAGGGAAGAAAACAGTTCACTGTATGGAGGGGAAGGAGGAAGAGGTGAGGAGGAATGGGTGCTAGGAGATAAGCCCAGAGGAAAAGAAGACTTTAGGGCTGACAAAATAAATGAGAAGCTTGAGCAGTGGGAAACAGGACTAAGGGCTAATACCCTGAATTTGGGATAGCTCTTTGTGAAGGACAGAATTAATTATTCCGTGGAGAAGAGGTACTGCATTTGTCACTGTGCTTCTTCCTTTGTAGGTTGGAAGGCAGATTTCTTTTTCATTTTTCAGCTACTTCTAAATATTTTATTAAATAGTTGGATGTTTCTTTTATTTCTAAGGACATGGGGTGTTGCTTAAATCTGCTTGGCAGTATTGGTGATTAGACCCATGAGTGGGTACCACGCGTGTGAAATGAGAATGAAAAGCTCATGTAGCTGTCCAGTTGGCCATTTCATGTGTGTGGGGAGTTTCTGGTATGATTGTCATGGATAAGAAGTTTGGAGAATTAGGTGCTCTGTGGCCCATTCTTCCCTCTTCTCCATGAATGCGTTTTGGGATCACTCACAGTGTACTGTGGTGTGTGTAGTTATTTTAGGGTCCTGTCCTTCTGCTTTCAAAGCCAGGCCAGGGAGGAATCCTTATTTCATCCCCCTTCTAATCTTTTGTAACAACTCCAGATTGTAAAACTGAAACCTGTAGACAAAGTAAAACAAATGTCTTAATAGAATTCAGCATAAGTACAGATGTTATCTCTCTGTGAAGAGTTTTGATGCTTTTGTAATGGCAATATTTTTAAGTTGTTTACTGTTGAGACATTCACTCTGAAGTGTTTGTAAACTATTCAGGGATGATGCTTGACCTAAGGAAGGTGTCCAGGTGACAGTACTGAAACAGTTGAATATATTCATAAATATCTAGATAGGTAGATAGATATAGTTGGTTGCTGCTTCAGTGATGCACTGTTTTGGGTGGGTTTGTTGCCCATTCTTTGTGTTAGTATGTTAAAACTGCTTGTATTGGATCAGGGTCAAGAGAGGCTGGTTGTATTAAACACCATTCTGGTTTCTCGTGCTTGGCTGTCTTGTTTCAGGTCCCCTTCTTAATTTCTAGTTTATCATCCTTGTCACTGTCAACCAGCAAGATCTCATGGTCTTCATTAAACTGCTTTGTTGCTGTTTTTGTGAGTTGTGCAGATATTGGGGTGCAGATGATGGTGGGCACTTGCTGTCTGTATTCCCATCAGGTCTTGAAGCCCTGTTGTGCTAGGATCCCAAAATACTGAAAATCAAGTAGTTACTCACCTTAAGATACTTCGGTCTTAAAATTACCCAGTCCTACAGAGCAGCAGGGTAAAGTACATTCTTCCTGACTGGTCCCTTTCTTAATCAAACCTAGCTCTCATTAGGAAGAAGAAAACAGAATACCAAAAACCAGATCTTACATAAATTACATTTTTTCTTTAATCTGTTTTGCAGAGTTTTGCTTCTGCAAAAAGAGCGTAGTATCTCCCACAAATAGTATGATTTTATAAAGCAGGTAATTTTATTAAAGGACTCAAATAATAGTTTGAGAAGCATGAAAAGTTAACAAGCAAATTCATTTGCCTTCAAAATATGAACAGTGTGAAGGATTAAGGCCACGTAATGGAAATTAAGGATAAAGTATAGATGAAGTATTGAGGCTATTGAGTAAATTTTTACATCCTTCATAAAATATAATATATGTTCACATAATGAAAGACTGTAAAAAATTCACATAGTAGGGAGCTGGCTTAGTGTTCTTGACCTTAATATTCTTCAATTTTGCCAGCTCATAGCATTCTTTAATGGAGATATTTTTGGTTGTGTCTCTAATTTAGTAGGAAATACTCTTCATTTAAGCTTATTACAAGTAGATACTGCAGTGAACTGAATACATTTTGAATCTGAAATGAGAAATATGGTGGGAACATAGTATTTTGTACATTTATTGGTAGCTTTTTCAGATAACTCCATATTAATCATAAAGAAAGCTTTTATATCAGATGTGGAAAATAGGAAGCAAAAGAAAAGAAAACTGTTTTTAAGCACTCTTCCTAGTATTCATTTATCCAATATTATCAGCACACTTAAGAAATGGTAATCAAACTAAGTCTTTAACTGCCAAAAAGAAGCATATCTCTTCCAGACTGACTGTTTAATGGGTCCATAACACAGCCATAACAGCTCCAATAAATCTGGAATAGCAATGATGTCTTAAGATTAAAACCAATAGAAAGCAGCTTTTCAACACTTTAGGATACTTGTTGGATGAAAATGAAGCTGTATATCACACACATAGACTTTGTTTAAATCTATGATTATCTCACAGATAGCAAAGCTGGAAGAGTCTCTCAAGAAAGTAACACAACAAATGCAACAGATGCAATGGTAAGAGGTTTAATGCAGCAAAAGTAAATGTAATCAGACAACAGTAAGTTTAATTCATTAAACAATGAAGATTTAATGATTTGTTTGCCTTCCTCATGTTTTTACAGAAATAAATGTGTAGTGATTTCTGACATCAGATTCATTTTTCACAATAATCAATCCTCTTAGGAAAAATCCTTTTATTTACAATACAACTCAGTAGTTAACTCTAGAAGTGAACTTTTAACAAAGTCTTTCACATAGATACACAGTTTTAAATTTTTATTTGCAGTTACATAACCATGTTTGTGTATTTTGCAATGGACTTTAGAGCATCAGCCTAGAAAGTAATGTGATGCCCTTGTGGGTATCTTAGCCCATTTACAAAGTTACCAGAGTTTTGTAATATGGTTCTCATTGTTTCTATTACTAGTAAAAATTAAATTCTTGTCTCATCTTGAATTTGTCTTTTTTCTCAAATGTTTCAAAGTGGTAGCCAAGAGATTGCTCATCATTTTCCCCTCAATGACTGATACACTTTCATCTTTTCATCTTATTTCTAACATAAAACCAAAACTGTTCTTGAAATCTCATTAATAAGCCAGTTCATGCAACCAGCATTTTAACAGCACAAATTTGTTGATCTTCATTCCTTTCCTGTGGTTTTTGTTTGGTTTTATTTTGGTTTTTCGTTTGCTTTTTCGTTTGTTTTTTTTTTAGTACAGGCTATTTCCCATGACTCTTAACTGCACATAATGTATTTTGCTCTCTCAGACTGCTTGGTATAATGTAACAGAAAGAAAAACCAGTATAAAAGAAACTGTATGTGGTGGATTACATCAGTTTATATGTTTTTGTTCACTGCCTCCGTTTTCTTGTCTCTATCTCAAATGAATTGCATCTTGGTTATATCAAATACAGAGTTCTAACTGAATTTTAGATTTTCTTTTTTGAGTTCTACCAAGAGAACAATGTCCTAGGGCCTTCCCTTGTTTGCCTAGTAAACATATTCTTCCTATTAATGGTTCTTGTCAAAGGTACCAGTTCTACAGAATTATTATTAAATAGTAAGAAAATGCCAACATTTCATTTGACAACTAGATTTCTTTAAGTTTGGTAAATATATAATTTCATGAAATGAAATGAATTTTCTGCTTAGCTATAGTTAAGAGCTGTATTTTAACATCTTTTGTTCCCTAAAGTACTTTGCTATAACGTTGTGCTAAGTTGATATTGTTGGGTATGCAATGAGCACTGCAGATATTATGATATAAAAAGCAAGTTCATAGCTTACTAAATAAATTCTTACTTTGCTTCATGGCAAATGGTATTATGTTAAAACCTGCTACTGATGGATAAAATGCTTTGATTTTATACTTTATTGACCAGTTAGACACGTGAACTAATCAAACCAGCTTTCGATTTATATTTGTTATTTCTTCTTTCCCTTTTAGTATGAAACCTTCTGATAAAACTACACCGCTGCCATTTTCCAGTATGAGCAGAAATACATTTTCCAGTAAGAAATGTTGGTTTAAAATACTAATTATGGAATACGTGGCACTGGACATAACTGTGTTCTAATATTAAATTTCTTAATGACTTCAGTTCCTCCAAGAAAACAGAATGTTTATTCTTCAAATTCTCTTCATTCGAGTCATCCTTCCACTTCTGAAACGTGAGTACAAATTTGTTCATTTTCAATGAGAATCTTACCTAATGTTTTATACAGAAAGTAACATTTTTGTAGTGAGTATAAAATATTTCCTGATTTTGTGTTTTGTTTTTGCAAACTGTTCAAATGTGAAAGAAATGAGGAAAGGCTTATCTATCCAAGTGTATATTACAGCTGTATGGATAATTATGGTTATGGGGAAAAAACCTAAGGCATGATGCACCTTATTTCAAAGAACTTTTAGATGGATAGGTGAATGGTGAATTGTGAGACACTCTCCATTTACCATACAGAAAAACTGAATTTATTGTACAGACACCTGTATGTACACTTTAGTTGTCTCAGTTTAGATGGGATGAGCCAGTCCAGTAAGGCTTATTTAATTTTAAGTAAAATGAATATACAGCTTGCTCAAGCTTAAATATTTCTATACTTTCGATTATGACTATTTTCCCTACAAAAATACAGATTCAGAATGCCCTTGCTGAGAATACAAATGATAAATACATAAATATGCATATTTATTCAGACAAATAGAAGAATAACAATCCTAATCATCAAATAACTTTCTCTGTAAATGTCTAAGCCAAAGTTCAATCAGTGAATAGATTTATTGCTAGTAAGTTTTGGAATAAGTCCTAAATTTATGCATTGTGTATTATGCTTTTCCATTACTAGTCAAATTTAACATTAGAATCTAACATAATTTTAGTCTTTATAATGAAAATGTGATTTTTATTACAATGTCATACTTTGACCTTTCTTGCAAGGATGGAGGCAATGGAGATTGATCCTGTACCTTCACCAATGAGGAGAGTAAGTGTTGTTTTTTTTAAATTTTTTTATGTATAGTTACACACATATATCCTTTTGATTTCTCCTACTCTGCTAATGATGCAAAACATAGGATTCTCCCCCCATTCCATTCAAAACCATTCTGATGTGCATGATGATTTCAGATACACTTGATTCAGCGTGGAAGTCAGATGCACCCCAAAAGAAATCAAAAGGAAATAAATCACAGCATTAATTTCTGGGATTATATTCTTCACCTGCCATATACAGGCTTTTAAACCTGTGATGCCAAAGTAAATGGCAAATTCTTAAAATCCCAGTATTACAAAAATTCCAGTGATCTGAAAGCACTATCATTTAGACTCTGATACCTGAGTAGGGAGTTGAGGTTTTGAGTGATACTGCTAACAAGAGAATGAAGGCAGGAGCTTTTCATGGTGTTGGTATCCTGGTTAAGAGAGGTAACATCCAGTAACAGCTGCTAGCTTGCAAATGGAATCTCAGCACAGAAAACAGTGAGAGTGTCTCATAATGTTTCTTATCTGAATGTGATAGGTTATAATAAAGCTAAAATACATGTATTTCCCACCTGCCCATTGATCTTTAAAAATAGTAACTTAATTCTTAGGTTTTGCATTTTAGTGCTATGAACAAAACTGACAGCAGAGAGTTTCAGAGCTCTGCAGGCTCTGTAGATTTCAAAAATATAGCAATATAATATTGCTTAAAATGTCTTAATAATTTATATGCTTATAACACTGTGGTTAATGACTTGCTGTTAATTTAGCTGGAGACACCAACTGGTCCAACAAGATTATCACTAATAACTCCACCACAGGATGGACATATGGGTGAGTAAAAGGAAACTTTGTAACTGAATAACATTTCTGTTACATCAGGAAGATGAATAAATTAAAATCTGTATATTAGCAATTTACTAAAAAAATTTGAATTGTGTTGAGCAGTGAGGAATTTACCATATGGACTTCAGTCCAGCAACTGGAAAATGGTTAAAATGAAGTATGAAATGTTTTCCTAGTTAGCTCTTCTGTTCAGCAAATGATTACTTGTAGCCAAACAGATTTTTTCCCCAAATCAAAGTTGCAAGGAAAATACTGTAATTATATGTGTGATTGAACAGGACAGGAATACTTGTAATATACATTGTTGAACCTCTGTTAAGCTTCATTATTTTATTTGTTTGTGGTTAACAGAAGGTAACATTGTCCACAATGTCATGTTAATGGCACGTGAAGAAAAGGGGGGAAACTAAAGGGAAGTGAAAAAGAATATTTATTTACAGAAGTAAGGTAGTTAAGATCAAGAATTTCTTCAAAAGGGTGATTTTTTTTTTTCACCTTATCACTGTTATAGGGTATAAGACATTTTACCTGCCACTACTTTCTTCATTCCTTCATATCCTGAGCTTGGGTAACACTCAGATGTAAATAAGACATGAGTAAGAGCCTACTGGAATTGGTGCAGTCTCTTGAGAACTGTTTATTTATGACGAGTTTCCCAGAATTCCTAATGCTTTGCAGGCCTGCTATTCATGTGTCTCTCCCATTCTTAGTTTTACATTCAGCATGTTTCTGCAGCAGTCCATGCTCAGGCAGGCTTTCACCTGGCTGCAGCAGTTCATAGAATCCATCTGTAGCCACATAAAGAACTTTTAGCACTCTTGTGTTTTTACATGGTGTAAGTGTCCTGAAACAAAGATAAATGCAATTGCAATGCAATTTCAGTGAAGGAGGAAAAATTGCTTATGTGTTATGTTTGATTTATATGCTCAGATCCTTCCTAAATGCATGGTTGCCTATAAATTTAGGCATAACAAGATAAAGAGAGCTGAGGTCAACTGGTTTTTTATTGTGTCTAAATATAAATAGATATTTATTAGACAGTAAAATTTTATGTAGAACAGTTATGTGTTCAGCACATTTCAGAAGCTTCACATAAAGTTTTGCAGTGGACAATGCTGAAGGAATCAAAGTTTATGTGCAAAAGTAAGGGTGAGTGGAAATAATGATTTAATGGTGCACTAAGAAGTTTCTCAGAGGTGGATGGAGCAAAAAAAGATCAGCTGAAGAACTGGAGCACTTCAGTACAGCTGTCTTGATAGTCTAATAATAGTCTAATAAATGAAAGAAGGTGAAAGAAACCAACACATGTTTAACTGGAACAAGATTTGCAGGGATGGTGCAATATGATGTTTCTGTGACAGCTGAGCTCTCTCATTGACTGTTGTAATTGTGCACCATGTTTTGTTGTTGAATGAATCAATCATGAATTTGTCCCAAATCACGCAATGAAAGTACTAATATCTGTTTGCAAAGTTATCTCAAGGAAAATGGGAAATTCACTTGGTCCTGTTCTCAAAAATCTGATTCCAACAGGCAGCGTATCCTACAGACGTTCTCAGACAGCTCTAGTAACACCAAGTCAGAATGTTGGAGCAGGGTCTACAAGGTAATTCAATACTTTTTCAAGAGGTTACCATCTCCTGCAAGAGACTAAAATTTCCCCTCTTGCCTGCATTAATTTTTATGTTCAAAGGTTATGTTCTAGATCTGAAGAAGTGTTACTGTGCAACTTGGCTATCATCTACATGAATGTTTGTTTATCGGGGAAAATTTTGTTTTGAAATCACGTTTTCAAAAATGAGCAGATATAGTCTGTGCTTCTGTAGCTGTTGACATCTATTGTCATGGCACTCCTGTATAAAGGGTTAGTAATTTTATAATTAGGAAATTTGATAATGTCTCTGCTGTATCATTCTTATAAAAATCAGAGATGAAAGCACAATATCTGCGCAAGGACTGCTCTCTGAATAACCCAAACTTCTCATGCAGCCTGCAACAGGTGTTTCTGGTTGTTTTCATTTAAACATTGAAAATGTCTTAAACTGTGAGAATTATTATCATCAATAAATAACTTTAAATCATTCCATAAAAATTAAACTCTTGTTCTTTATAATCATTAAGCCAAATGTATCTTCCCAGCAGAAATTTAAAATATGTGTAACAAAGTACTACTTTTTTTCCACCTTAGATTCCATAATTGTTTTGTCAGTCTGCTTCTTGAAAGATGTAAAAATCTTAAATAAGTAAAAATATATAATTTATAATATTTTTCATTAGAATATTAGACAACAAATTGAAGTAATTTTGAAATCTTTTATACTGTTAGAAGTAGCCTCAAATCACATGCATGAATTAATTTCATTCCCAGATCCACCCCTGTGAGGTTACCACTTAGTGCATGTCCATTATCAGCTGGATCCCAGAGCAGTCAAAGGGGACCATGGGCTAATTTTGATTTCAGAACCCCTCAGCTGCATCCATTTACATCACCTTCTCCGCAGCTGCCTCTGTCAAGGCAGCCAATCACCATCCCTGGACTCCTGCAAAGACAAGGCAAGTATATTTGTAAAATAACATTTACCACTTCCTGAAAAGTTGTCAGCATAGCAGCTTAAATAAATTACCCAAAATAAAAATGACATTTCAGAATTGGAAGTAGGCTCTCAGCAAAATATGTAAGATGTTGGTGTTTATATGTCTTGTCTTATGTGCAGGATGGTATCTGCTGTAAAAATGTGTTCTTGCTTCACTTCAGAGTTAGATTTTAACAGAAATTTAAATCTCATAATGCCCAAATTTTCTGTCTCAGCTGAAGATTTCTTAAAGATCTCTTTATCAAGACATCCATGTAAATGTCCACTGATCACAGTATAAAGAGAGCCAGTCCAGGGTGTTATTTGTTGAGTGCAACATAAAACTACCAAAAGCAGAAAGGAGCTGCATAAACATCAGCCTCAAGGAGGGTGGATGTGGGTAGGAATTGCACTGGGGCAGATTAATTAATAAAATCACAGAATCGGAGTCAGAACTGTAGAACAGCCCTGGTCAGAAATTCCCCAAATAATTTACATGAATAAAGCTTTAGTTTTACCAAGTTTGATTTTTTTTCATTTGTATCTGTATTTTTATTCTAGGATCAACTAATATAAGAGGACATTCAACAGAGAGATGAGCAAACATCTGTGAATTGCTTTTGTTAAGAAGCATGTGGAAAAGCACTGCATAGTCTCTGGATATCAAAGTATTTGTAACTTCCATAATATGTCAAATTGGCATAAACCAGAAAATTGTTCAGCATGAATATTGTATTTATAACATCACTGATCTTTCTGATTAACATCTTCTGAAGTTTAAGGTGGGACTACAAAATTTTCTTGTTTTTCAAAATATTGGCTTCAAATATATTGCATAAATAAAAGTACTTTATTACCTAAGTGGTAGGGCAAAACATGATTATATGTTGAATGAGCATTTTTTGCTCTGAGTGCATTGAACTACAGGATAAATAATTGTGCCTGTACAGTATTATAGATAGACTGCAGTCCTAAAAGAAATTTATTTATGGATTTTTGATTGCAGAATTCCAAAGTTTGGTTCTTACTCAATGCATCTCATTTTTTTTGCACTCTTGAAAAGGGGTAAGTTTTGATGGATATTACATTCTAGCAGGCTTTGCCGAGCACAGAACACAGTATCTGTTCCACACTTGGCAAGTCCATCATTTGATTTAGGTAGCAAAGATTTCTTCCCAAAATAGAATGAAGTGGGGGAACTGGAATGAAGAGACAAAACACAGCAAAGACTACTTTTACTTTTGCACAGGAATAGCAATTGGGTACTCTGAATGAAGGTGCCAGAATGCAGCCTTTTCCTTCTGAGAACAGCTCTGAAGTTCATATTCCCACCATCACTGTGTATGTAGCAAAATTTTGGTATGATTGAGTTATCAAATGCCTTTGTTTTGTTTTGACCCTAACTTTACCTAGACTATTTTAAGTATAATAAAACTAAAAGCTGGTGCATTTTTCTTGAAATAAAGTTCCCTAAATATATGATAAATTTCTTTTGAGTTGAAATGTTGAGAATCACAGCAGGATAATAAGTATTAAAAAAACCTTCCCTCCACCCTCACTCCTTCCCAGCTCTACCTCCTCTCCCAGAAGTGCTGTGAGACAGAGAAAGGAAGTTACAATCAGTTCATCACGTTTCTTCAACTGCTCAGGGAGAAGAGTCCTTGCCCTGCTCCAGCATGGGAACTTTCAATTTCATATTTGCCTTATTTCAGTGTATAGCTGCCTTTACTTTTTTTTTTACCATGGGAAAGTTAAATTTTCTCCTCTTCAGTATTCTTATACTTCAGAGTTTAGCTGGGAGCTCAAAGTCAGCTTCCTTCCAAGCAAACTTCCAGTCAAAAGATTTAATTTTGCATTGCCACAGACATGTTCAAATTAAGGTGTGTAGTGTAACTCTTAAAATATTTCAACTCTCCTTTATTTCCAGATGAGCTTCTACAGCTTCAAAAGTGAGGCTGGTAAAACATGACTGCCAGCTTTGATGTTATTTGTGCCCCAGTGTTTTTCTGTTTGTTTGGATCCCAAGAAAGGATTCTCTCTAATCTCTGTTTCATCACACTGCAGTTGTCATCCAAGTCTGTGAAGTCATACTATAGTTTTTGTAATTGCTGGAAGTTGTGTTCTGCAGCCAGGTGTAATACTTAGGTTTTGTTGGTTTTGTTTTTCTTTCATCCCACTCTACAAGCCCTCATCAACTGCAGAATTGAGCTTCATGGAGGTGAAAATTTGTGTCCATAAATGGGCCCTGTCTGAAAGAATTAATTTAGGAAAGAGTCATACATGCAAGATCTACAACAGTCACAATACTGTTCATTCCTTGTCAGGGAATTAAAAATACTGTTAATCACTGTGTCATTCAGAGATGTGAATAAATATTCACAGAGAATGGAATGGTTTCTGTTTCCTGCTCACCACAGTAGTTTCCACCCAAATTCAGTTAACAATCTTCAGGTAATCACCCATTTACCTTTTCTGTGGTGAAAGCTGGACACAGGCAGACTGTGTTTTGTAGCTGTAGGATGAGAACTTGGAATATCACATCAATGAAGAAATGTAGTATGGAAATGGGTATGTATATTACTTTATTGCTGTTTTGAACTACTTGGTAGTGTCTGGTACTTAATCTGTTTGAGCACACAGTCTAATCCTGAAGAAAAAAAAATCCAGCAACCTCACCTTCAGAAATATTACAGCTTTGAAATGCACTTTGAAGAGAAACAATGTAACTTGAGAAAGAAAGCAAAGGCACTGGAGCTATCCATGCTGAGGAGAAACACTTGAATGACATCCTCTTGCTTCCCAGTTCAGAAAAATACTGAAAAAGAATTAGTTAGAATAGAATATGATGTGATTTTTTTTTTCCAAAGCTTACATCTAAGTAGCTCTTTTATAAATTAAAGTGTAATAAGTAAGAAAAAAATAATTAAAAAGGTAAAAACAGTTTGAGGAATGTAATTTGCCAAGTTCAATGCTTCTATCATTTGTTCAATAAAGTTGAAAATACTATATTTGGTATTTCATTCTTTAATGAAATAAAGAGGAATTGGTCCTTCATGTGCAAGGAAATTTGCAGTTCGCTGAGGATACAGCAGAGGGTGCTGAGCTACCTCTAAACAAATTCACTCCTCGCTGCTCTTTGGCTAAGGGGACTGAAATCGGGTCTGTGGCCTTTTCTGTCTGGAACTTACATGGGAAAGCTACAGACGGTGAGAGGAAGAGCAAGGATGTGATGTAGAGGGTCACTGGAAGTTAAACTCAGATACAGGAGTCCTCTGGGATGTGAAGGGTAAAAATGGAAGCAGGGGTCAGTCATGCTGAGGGGTTAAGCAGTAGTGGATTAAAGGAATAAATTATGTATTAAATTTGAAAATTTCTGAACAGAGGACTTGGCAATGCACAGTGGGTATTCAAGACTCCAGTGCTAAGAAGCAGCGGCTGAAGCTGTGCTGTGTAATTTTGAGAAACTGAGACTGAGCTGACCTGCAGCTCTTTTCAGCTCCTGTCTGCAGCTTTCTGGCCTTAAGGCATAAGAGGGCACTAATTTATCTTTTTCAGTTTTTTAGGAGAGAACATGAGTATGTATTTCACTACAAGGGTGTTTTATGCACACACAAACAATAGCAGAGGATTTTATTACGAGTCAGAATCGTGCTATTCATGCAATGGGGTCAGCACTTGTGCTGAAGGTATCCTCTTGTTTGCATTACCGTTGCCAACTTCAGTTTCATTTCACAGTCATCACTTCTCCCTCACAAGGTGATGCTTATGCCATATAAGGCAGAATCATGTCTATTTATTCCTGTGTGACACAAAGGAAGTCTGTTGTAGACAAATGCTTGGTCTGTTGGACATAATACCTGATACTTGCCAAGGAGCATTTTCTACAATTGTGCCAATTAAAATGTGAAATTGCTACCACTTATTTTTGAACTCTCTTGTTCTGGCAGTCAGGAAAGAATGCCATAACTCATCAAGATGCAGCACTGTCGGTTTATCTATGATAGTCCTATTTTCCCTCTAGAATTTAACCTGCTCCTGACCTGAGGAAATGCAATTTGATAATTCTCTCCTTCTGTGGTCTCTGTGTCAAAAATGCCAACATACTTCAGTCTGTAGATCAGCTTTGTGTGCCTTTGGAGCTCGTGCTGTTTCTGATGGTCCAGTGTGTGCCATTGTGCCAGACTCTTCCTGCAAATCTCTTCTGTGCAGATAAAAACTGTGGTGCAAGTAGGGGGACACTGCTCATGTCCATGCTGTAGTGTTTGGGGTTCTTCCACACCGTGCCTTTAGGATTCCTGGGTATCCCACCAGCTCCAGAAAGATTCAGGACTCTGCAGTCACTAAATCATCTGCATCACTGGAACCCCTGACCGCTACAATACTTTGCAAGGAAACCTGCCTTTCATAACGAAAAGGTTGACTTGCTGAGTGTCTCCATGGAGAAGGTTAGTGATCTGCCCTGAGCATCCTTTGTCTCGCGTGTCACATGAGCTTTGGACAACTCTTGCCTTGATTATGTCTAAAGGCCTGATAATTTTTCCCTTGAAATGGTATTAAATATTTGTCCTGAACTCTAATATTAAAGCAGTACCAGGGACTAGGGTGCCATCTGGGAGGCAGGTCTCTGGAGGGGTAAGGAAAGAACTTGCTTGGAACAAAACAGTATATTTGTGTGTTGACAATGTGGGGAAGGACATGACTGAGTGTGAAGTTAGGAGTCAGTGAACAAGCTCTGTAAGCAAGTTTGCCACCCACAAAAGAAGAAAAACTTTCTGTTCTGCAAGTGGAGAGAGCTGGTTTCCTTTTGGACACACGGGACATGGGCAACATCCCTCACAGCCCTGTCCCCAGCAAGCAGCAGCCCCCTGACCTTGCTGCCCTGGGACTATTCAGAAGTCACCAAATCTAGAAAAGACTGTTCCACATCATGGTCCACCTTGCAAAACTCTGAAACCAGGCACTGGTGCTGCCAAGGCTCACAAGAGAAAAAGTTTTGCAGAAAATGAGCAACGCTGAGAGAATCCAGGTTACTCCTGGCACTCTGGAGAATCACCCTGCACCAGCAATATATTTTCCTAACCAACCCAGGGCCTCCCAGGTAAAGGCACACAACACATTTCCTATCAAGGCAGTCTCCACAACAAGATCAAGAGCTGTCTATCCCCATCATGTGGAAGGAAAAACACAAAAGAGAGGAGGAAATCAGTCCCGCTAGACATTCCTAGAAGCTTTTTCTGGCCCCTGCCTTAACCGAGCAGACATTTTAGCCATGTTTCACATCCTTGCCTAGGTCAGCGTTGAGCCAAACAGAAGCTGACTTTGGAGATGCTTGAAGTACATCTGTGTCTTTATGTATTTGGCTGTGCAGAATACGGTAAAAGAAATAATATTTCAGCCATCTCCAGCTTCTCTGAGCTCAACCAATTTGAAACAGGCAGGACGGAGCTCCAAGAGTCATTGTGAGTGACGACAGGCAAGGCTTGGTGTGATGGGAGTGAGGAACAGATGGGCCATTTGGGATTACCCAGGCCAGTTTCAGCTATGTTTTTGACCTAAGTTTGCACACAGGACTGAGCTTGGGAGGAGTCAGCTCTCAGGGGTCACCTGTTATGCTACCAGTCACCTGTAACATGGGAATGTTATAAATGAGGGTGCAGGGGAGAGGAAATAAACCTGGCTGGGAGATAGAGGACAGGATGAAGGAAAAAAGGGCAAAAGCAGCCATGAGTATCAAGGAATGTTTTCAATGTAAACTACATCCTTCTAGTCTTGCTCCTTGTGTGTACTCAGATGTTCATGCATGTTCTCCCTTTTGCTGTTGCCCGTACAATGTTAGCAGTAGAAGGTGTTTAAAGCAAAAACGGACAGGAATACCTAAATAAGAGTTGTGTAAATGCCCCTAGTCAAGATTTATACTGTTTTGTGCTCTGGTATCATTCTTGGAATAGATATGATGACCTGATTTGCCTTACTTATTTCTTTCATTGTAAGCTCTGAAATAGGAATTTCCAGGTTTTTATGTATTTATTTATCTTTCTGTTAGAATCTCTGCAGTTCTTAGTACTGGCGGGTCATTTAGAAATTATTCCGTTTTTTTTACTAAGAAATAAATAGATAAATGGATAAGAAACAAGGCAAATAACCATTATAATGTGGAGGGCTTGCATTTTCCACAAATGTAGTGCAGTTACTGTTTCTTCTGACAGCATTTCACAGCTTGCCAGTAGAGTCTGTGGAATGTGTGGGTAAAAATAACACAGCCTAGCAATGTTAGAGTCCCATACATTAAATCTTTGCATAAAAAATAAAAATAGAGCTCTGGTTTGCCTATATGAAATTACCAAGTTTGCAGATTCTTAGTGTGAATGTAAAAAGCTTCTAGCACAGCATACGGTAAATACATTAGTGCTATATTCCAGAAATCATCATTTTCCCAAGCTATAGTTCTTGCTGACATATGTGGTAGAAAGGCTAGTTCTGCCAACTGTC